CCGCCTTCGGCGGCCTCGTCTCCGACTCACGTGCCTCGTGCGCCTGTACTCCACCAGCGTTGAATTCAGCACTTCTCCGCCTTAGCACGTAATATACTATCTAAATCTGGTATTGCTGATTATCTCCATGCTTTTCAACTAATATCTCATTTTCTTATAACATATGCACAAAGCAGATTTTTTTTTGGTCGAATTTGCTTTTTTCTAATGTTGATTGCAAATGGTCAAGAATGTTATGAAACGCGAAGAAATGATGTCTTTAGAGTCATGTCTGTATATATAACTTTGGTGCGTTGTTTTATCCCGATCGGTCCAATAGTTCCTGACATATAACAACTTTTTTTTAATTTTTTCAAAGATTTTAGATATCCTTGGCAATTTTTCGAAAGTGTCTTCAAAAAATTCATTTTCTTCATAAAAGACGAAAAGAAAATCGAATGAGGAACCATCAATGCTTTCTACCACGCATAAAATCATTTTATTAAAAAAAATTTTTATATTTAACATTTAGATAAAACGGATTTATACAAAAAAATTAATATCTTCCAAACCACTGAGCCAATTGCGCCCATTCAAAATACGGACCTTCAATATTATGAGAACTATGATCGTACCAAATTTCAGCTTTCTATCTTCGTTTTTGCTCACGGTATCGTGCGTAGAAGAATAACAAGTGGATATCTCAATTTTTGCACAAGCTAGAGTGATTACAAGGATTTTTATGAAAAAAACAGAAAAACGAAAATATCTGGAACACTTTGTATGAACGGGTGTATATGTTTTGATTGATTCGGATAGAAGGCATCGAAACAAATATTTTGAAAAAAAAAATTGAAATCGGTTGCGTAGTTTTCAAGCTATTGCACATAAAATCTTTTCAGAGAAAGTCAAATATCTCGGAAACTACCTATGCGATTGAGCTCATTTTCAATTAAAAGGATTGTTATTACGAGAGAAAGGTTCTGACCAAATTTCAAGTTGATATCTCAATTTTTGTACAAGCTAGAGTGATTACAATGATTTTTATGA